TTTTTTTTACGAACCGGAACGCTAAAAATTTTTTTGTCGTGAACCGGAACTGCGTTCCGGTGCGTTCCGGTCCATTTCGAGCCCTGATCTCGTCATAACTTTGTGTAAGTATAAAGCTGGTTACACGCGTAGCGTTTCGTGCGCTGCGTTTTACCATCTAAAATTAAATATTCATATTTAAATATGTATATTCACACGATAAGCATAAACGGAGTGTTCGACAGCTGTCGAACACTCCAAGACGAAATGGTTCAATTTCTGAGCGTCCGTACGCTATCAAACGCTAAAATTAGACATGGGTTTTGTAATATTGTTGTATACACGGGGTGTATCTTTTGCCGCGTTTTTTTACTATCTCACAATACTAAATACAAATTCATTCATAATCAATTTTATTTCATTCATAAAATCATACCAACAAAGTGCGTTTACACTCTGCAGTGAATATTGTTGTATAGGTACCTTAGTACCTACCTACCTACTTTTTTTCTGCAATGGCATTTGACATAGAAAAGTTTATACTTGAAGTTCGAAGCGAATAATTTACTTACCAACTAATCAAATGATTGTATGCTCATCCGGTAATACTTAAAAAATTCTTCCGGATGTGCTTGTAAGGTCATAAAATTTATTTGGAATTGGCCTTCTAGTGGCCTTTTCAAATTTAATAGGTGTACCCAATAACGTCTTCTGATTGTTTATTGTTTTTGCATTTTGTGTTTTTTGTATAAAACGTAAGCAACACAAGTCGCTTCAATATCATTAAACCGATCTATCAAAGATGTAAAAATAAAAATTTTGAAAAAAAAAATTAACTTTCGAGTTTCGACTTCCCTCGACCACGTTGTAATTTGAACTGAACAATGACCAGGCCGTATGAACTATGATTTCAAATATGTTTTTGCGAATTTTTGGTAAAGAAAAACACGCTTAGAACGCAGGTACGCTCTTCTCGTGTGAATACTTAAAGTGTTCGCGTTTCGATACGCGGCGTTTTAAAAACGCGAAAATGCAGCGCACGAAACGCTATGTGTGTAACCAGCTTAAATAATTCTATAAACCCGTATCGACCGTATAACCCTCTGGATATCGACCGGAAGTTAATAAAGATAATAGTCGATATAGAATAACACATTATTTGTTTAGTGTTCAGTTTAGTTGATTATTATTCGTCGTTGTTTTTGCGTCTTGCAACCACACAACATCGAATCATACGTAAAACGGCGTACTCGTATATTTTTAACATTGTGTAATGCTAAAAGTACAACAGTCTACGAGTAACCGACAACAACATTTTGTTTCGGAGTTTAAAGATACATTTACATCCAATGGATACGTTTTATTTTATGTACTATGTGGTTTTTTTTTTTATTTTTAATGCATATAAATGCATATTATAATGCATATTTCAATGATTTCAGACACATATTTGTCTATTTTTTAGAGCTGTAAGTCCCTAAGCCTAATTATAACTCTGACTGCGTTTACCGTTCGTTTAACGAAATAAATAATCTTATGAATAATACTAATGACAATCGTTAAGCCCCCGTAGGTTACAATAAATTACAAATCAAATAAATAGTCGAGTACAATATAAGACTTTTTAAAATATGGCCTCGAACGGTAAATGGTTTTTTAAAAACGTAAGCTCGGATGATTTTCTTTTTTGTCTGTTAATGAAGTAATCGATATGCGTTAAAAATAGTTCAAGATAAGATTAATGTAAGATAAGATAAGTCTAGAACTTATTTCTGTTCGTTTATGGTTCGTTTACGCATGTGATACATATATATATATATATATATATATATATCCAACGAAATTATTGTTTGAAATAGTAAATCCTGGTTGGAAGTAAATCTGAAAAATAAAAACAAAACGGTATTTTCTTTTGTTGACGTAACGTTATTTTAGTTTTAATTATCCCTCCCCTCAAACGCATTATTTAAATTCGCAACACGTTTAACATTTAAGATAATTTAAGATCATTCTTAATACGCCTTCGAACCGAAACGTTTTCCGATATAGTCGTTGCGTAAAGGGCCCCATACACTACGATTAAACACGATGGTTTTCATCGTCACAGTAAAACACGTCGGTTTTTATCGTTGAATGATTTTGCTCATACACTACAATAAAACACGTCAGTTATCATCGTACTGCTTAATTTTATTAAGTAAATGTTCGTATGCTTTATTTTTTAGATTTCTATCTCGATATTTCTCAGACTTGATGCGCCACAAGCAAGGAAATGTTTTATACTCGTCAATAAATTAAATTAAAAATGTTTTATTCATTTTTAAATGACGTATAACTTTAAAATACAAATATATCGTAGTCAAATAATTTACATTTAAAATTTACTTTGGAATTAAAAATTAACGCTGTAGCGGTACTATGAACGGCTGCATGACATGTGCGCATAGTAAATAAACACGTCGGTTTTTATTGGAAAGCCCACACATTACGATTTTAAACGACAACCGGTAAACCCATCGTGTTTAAATTCAAGACTCGACAGAAATAATAAAAACCGTCGTGTTTCATCGTCGGATTTTGTCCACAAACTTCAATTCTGACCGACGATTTTTATCGTAATGATGAAAACCGTTATGTTTCATTGTGTGGGGCCCTCAACACTATCGCATCCTATAGAAAGGGGGAACTGTACAGACTACTTGATATGTAACTATACATTTGTTCGCCTAATAAATTTCCAAGTTACGCCCATGTACTCGCTCGTAAACTCACGATGAACCGTCCTCGAGAACCTGCGGCCGCTCTTCTGACTTCTACGCACGTCTTCATCCGCACGGTCGCACCGAAGACATTTCGTATTCGGTTTTCGACGACATTCCCTCGCGCAACGTTCGCCGCGAACAACATCAATCGTGCACACTCGTCACACGTCGCATTACGGTGCCTATCGACAGGGCCGTGGAGAGAAATCAAGGGCCCAAGGGACGAATTAATCCAGGCCCTTCTCACACGAGGTATTGAACTTGCCACTAATATCCAGTGTCTTCTTTTAAAATGTGTATACAAGAGAGATAATGTAATCGCAGTTCATGGTTATTTCGCAGACTAAATGAAAAGAATCATTTATAGCCTATGGTAATGTTATTTGTCTACGTTTTAGATCAATATTGTAGTGTTCGCTTTATTGTAGACTCGTTTTAACTATACAGCATACGCTATAATTATTTGGGTAGGTTATTAGCACGATTCATTTTGGTCATACATAGATAGCTCGACACTATGACCGAGACGTAATGAACTTGGTCAGGCCGCAGGCCCTTGGGCTACGGCGCCAGCTGCCCCTCCTCTCGTTGGGCCTGCCTATCGATTTTTCTCCGGTCATCGCCCCGTAGACATACCGTGGTGTCATCCTTGCGTTTGGTCACCACAAGCAAGACACGACAACGTCAAGCGAAAGGAACAAACGAACGGGCGAAACGGTTTCCGTTTTATATCAACGCGTACTGTTCGCGAACGTTGAAAGTCGTTTTAATTTACTTTCGACCATGATTCGGTTTTATTCGCTCGATAAGAATCACTTGTAGAACCAAATCCTGTTCTTTGTTATTGTTCCCCGGAACGACGGGTACTCGTTTAAGCGCGAATCACGAAAAACGCATGAACGATGTAATATTTTTCCGCCACATCCGTTCAACATGGTCCGTAAACGTATAAACATTTACTCTACATCCGGATAACGATTATTGTCCATCAAAAAATTTGCCGCGGCACGATGTCTCATTTCGCGTCGAAACTTTTCCGTCTAGCAATATTCGCGTTTCCGAGATCGCAATCGTTGTCGTGTGGAAGACATACCGTTTCTCTGATTCCGCGACCTAAACATAATCACGGAAACAATTTCATTCGATTTTACCGTCCGTGTGATGGAGATGCGACAGATGATCAGGACCGGGACACGGTTGAATAATATTTTTTTTTTCTTTTTTCGTTCAAGCCTGAAATGGCGTAACGAGGTTAGAGCACACGAATACGCGTAAAAGGATCAGAGACCATGACTGTTCGATGTTCATTAATATTAAAAATTAACACTATTAGAAATCGATTATGACAGTATTCGATAAAGGGGTCAGGCGCACGGTGTGGTTAAATGATCGTAAACGACTTATGTTTTATATATATATATTTTATCGCTGAAAAGAAGACGATGTTTTAATTAATTTTATATGCTTTGGAATAAAAGGAAGACGTAATTAAATCATCTAGAAAATACATGGAAAAAATAGCATTATATTTTTTTCAAGTCATGAAAATCATCGAGTTTTCGTCGATTTTCAACGTTACAGTTTTTTAAGTACCACAAAGAAGATTCATTTCATAAAACCAAAAAATACAAATAAATAATAACAATAATAAGTTTACAAATACTCATAGATATTAGATTTTTCTCGGTATATTACATCACATAAATCCTAAATGTATTTAGAAAATATTTTAACAGCAAAAAATATTCGATTTCAACGGTGAACTGAAAAATAATAAAAATAATTCAATTTTTTCACTCTCTACTCGCTATTGATTTGTATACATCTTTGGGGAAATGCTCTTGTTTTGTTTTCACAACCCGACAAAACTTTTGTTTTAGAATTTTAATACGAGTATATATTTGAATTTACCATAGTTTTCATAGCTTCATCGAACATTTATGAGACACGTGTTTGTACAAAAGTTCAAATATTTTCATTTACTTAATTTGTTTTAAATCATACGTATTGTGTTTTAATTTTTTTTCATTAGGTTTTAACTGAATTTATTTTATTTATTACATATGAACTTGTTATATTAACTTCCATAAAAAATACTTTGTTGACTGAATACGGATTTTTTAAACTTTATTTTTACAGACGCAAACAGGTATTTAGGAACCGTTGGTTACAGTTACTACAGTCAACAGCAACCGTATTTTCAACCGGCATACCCGTACAACCAGCCACATAACCATCTACAACAACTGCCTTACCAGCTATACATCGACCACCACAACAGTTTGAACTATCCGTACAACATCGATCAGTATTACCAACCGCACGGCCAACAACCGTACGACGGTCAACATTATCCGTATGCCGGTTACCAAAACGATCACCAAAACGGTTACCTACCCAGCCACAACGGGGCTCAACAAAACGGTTTCGG